TCCTACAGCTTTATTTTTCTTTCTAGAAATAGTTCCAGTTCTTTTGCTTCCTTTGTACTTTAATATCAATTTTTGAGTTGGTTGTCTGTCTCTGTAGCAGACCTTGTTAACTCCGGTTGGCATTGTGTTTAATCTGTGGTCATATGGGGGGAAAATTGGCATCTTTCCTGTGTTGAGTTTTCTAGCCCACAGACCTGGTATGTCTCTGCATTTATTTAGATCTTCTGTGATTTCTTTCACATGAGTTTGTGGTTTTCAGCCTGCAGGTTCTGTATGTGTTTTGATGGATCCATACCTGAGCGGTGTATTTTTTTGTAAGCAATTGCCAGAGCTTTTTTTTCGGGGTGTGTGTGTGTGTGTGTGGCTGTGATAGGGCACCAGGGATTGAACCCAGGGGTGCTCAACCCCTGAGCCTCACCCCCAGCCCTTTTTATATATTTATTTTTAAATTTTGAGACAGGGTCTTGCCAAGTTACTTAGGGCCTCACTAAGTTGCTGAGTCTGGCTTTGAACTCGCGATTCTCCTGCCTCAGCCTGCTGAACTGGTCAATGCTGTTTTAACAACTTTAACATTTGTATGCTTTTTACTAATATGTAGAGATTCAGTTAATTTTTGTATGTATATCTTGTGTCACGAAATCTTGCTGATCCCATTTCTTCTAGGAATTTTTTTTTTTTTTTTTGTGGGTTTCATGGCATTTTCCACATTCATGACATCTGTGGACAGGGACCTCACTCCTGGTGGTCAGACCTTGGTGGTGGCTTTTGCCTTCGTTATCAGAACTCAATGTTTGTTGTTTACTGTTCTCTTCTCAGATTTCTGCTACTTTTTCTTGCTTATTTGGGGGAGGCCGAGGTGTATGATTGTGGAAACCTGCTTCATTCTGCTAGTGAAAATTGAGAACCAAAAAACCAAAAATGTGTATAGGAACAAAAGAAGTATGTTTGTTGTCCTTAATCCAGGTCCCATTTGTAGCCGGAAACTTGAGAGTGTCTTGTTTGCCTGTTTGCTGGTGTGCTGGTTATTTAAGGTTCCTAGAATTGCCTCAGTACACTTTTGTTAGGAGTTTCTGCTATAATATCTCTGTTTCTCTAGGGTTGCTGTAAGAGAAGAGAGTGGCGAGTAATTGTAAGATTGTATGTTTTTATCTTAAATTGATTTAAATTTAATTTTACTGATATATTTCTTGATTTTTCTCTTTAGGGCAGAAAAGACTGAAGTCCTGAGTGAAGACCTTCTTCAGGTAAGGTTATCACTGACCACGTGGCTCACGGACACCAGAGATGCTTTTCCTTCTAGGACTAAGCCATTCCCTGTGCTTTCTTCCACTGCTCTCTCTGCTCCTCATACAAACTGGAGATACAACTTTTTGTCTTACATGACAGTGTTTGACATTTTGAATACAATTGACCCCAACTCCCTCACTTCCACTGAAAAGATATTCTAGATAGTCTTAGACATCCACTTGGTTTTATTACAAGATATTTGTGAGCTAGGAGGACTTTTTCTCCTGCCTTAAGTGTATGCAAGTCCACATCTGTAGATTCAAACAACTATGGGTCCAAAATATTGGAAAACAGGCCTGGGGGTATAGCTCAGTGGCAGAGTGCTTTTCTTGCATGTGCAAGTCCTAGGTTTAATTCTCAGCACTGGAGGGGAATGAATGAATGAATGAATGAATAGATAGATAGATAGATAAAATGAACAAGCAAATATATATATATATATATATATATATATATAT